AACTCCATTCTGAAAAAAAAATGTTGCATCTTCCAGGAAAAACCCAGATAGGGCCTTCATTCTCACCGGCCTACGAAGCCTTCACGATCCGCAACACACTCACCATGTGGAGAGAGCCGTGGTTCATCCAGGGTACGATGAAAACACAATCGCCAATGACATTGCCCTCGTCAAGGTTCGTTTCTCATTGCAATGCTGCTTTTTTTGTAATTTTTCAAAAGTGAAATTTATTACGCATCTCCAAGATGGGTCACATTTTCCACAGTGGATTGAGAATGCTGAAGCATAGAAGAATTTCGAATCTGACGGGTAAGACATCAAATCCGATGCTGACTTTGAATAACAATATTAGGCATTTGCGTTCGAATTATTACCCGCACCGGTTTTGTTCATCTCGCATCCCTCTAACCAGGAAAATTTTCCAGGAAATGGAGCGCTTTTTCAAAGGCTCTTTTGCTTGCATTCTATTGAAACACGCACAGGAAGCATAAACCTGAAAAATTTCTATTTGTTTAGGGAATGCTAAAAAAATTTGTCGGAACCAGGACTTGTGGTTCGATCTCCAATGAAGCCAAATTCTCTCTGATTTCCACTTCCTTGGGCTCACATATGTCTAAACATATTCAGTGAGGAAAAAGCTTCTAAAATGCAACTATTATGTATACTCCACAATCGCTGCAGAGTCCATAAAAAATGGAAAAGTTTCACTTCTCTGGAAATTCTCTGCCCTTTCTCTGGCCCGGGGCCGCTCAGAAAACATGGTCATTAGTTTATGCTCCATGCAAGCCCTGCAGCACACAACAAACCATTTTGAAAAGCACACTGTGTCCGTAAAGGCTTTCCTGGTGGGCAAACCTCAGACCTCAGCTATTTCAGGGGCACGGTCGAGCGGATTAAAACTGTTACAGTGAAGATATTCCTGACCATCTCGCAAGCCTAATAGGTTTCGATTGCTGCGGAAGGGATCGCAAAATCTCTAGGAACCGGATAAGGTGATGAAAGAGATGAATTCCCACATGTGCTCCCTTCAGTGAGGCTTCCAGCACTAGAAACATCAAAAAAGCCAGCGTCGAAACAGCTTGTTGTTGCAGCTCATCGGTAGTTTCAAGTTTCGTTGTAGGAGGACAACTTTATCGTTCCGAAAGCCGCTTTTTTTAGAACTCCATGACATCACAGGAACCAAAAAAGGCTATTATACAGAAAAATGACATAAGTGAATGAGAACGTGAAAAATTATGTAGCGAGCAGACGCAATCCAGTAATTTAGCCCACTCAAACCGAAGTTGGAAGGCTGACACGGGCGCAATGTTCATAAAAGGCATCAGTAAGCCAGTAGGGATCTTAAGACACAACAGAGGAGTAGTATAGTTTCTGGAGGCCAACGCGTAATAAAGGCTAAATTTTGAAACTCTATTAGTTCGGGTCCCGCAACTTTTCAGGTTCCTGATTTGTACCCCGCTACAGGTAAATTCCGAATTCCCCCGTTTCCACGTATTCTCCCTAACACTTTCGCTTGCTCATTTCCAGCACTTACCAGGAAAGGCATTCAACTTCCCATGGAACTTTGAGATGAGACCCAGATATATCGATAGAGCTTCAAACGCTGATTACAAACATGGAAACTAAAACTGCAAAATGAACCTGCCAAGGAAGTTGTGAGCAGTCAAAGTTGGCTGGAGGTAAAGCATTACACTAGCCTTTGGGCTTTCAAAGTCGTCGTGTGGTAGCTCTCGAATTTGCGCTCTGACGGGAGGAGAGCTTATGGTCCAGTGGTGGTGCCCTCGCTATTCACCCTCCAGGGTGAATAGCGAGGGCACCACCACTGCTCCGCGGTGACTATGAAAGCCCGGAGGCTAGTGTAATGCTTTACTTCCAGCCAACTTTGACTGCTCACAACTTCCTTGGCAGGTTCATTTTGCAGTTTTAGTTTCCATATTTGTAATCAGCGTTTGAAGCTCTATCGATATATCTGGGTCTCATCTCAAAGTTCCATGGGAAGTTGAATGCCTTTCCTGGTAAGTTTAGGTTTGGTTCACTTAACGCTGTTCGACCCACATAGAAATATTCCAGAACTGCGAATTAATTACGAAGATGAAACAAGCTTTTTTTTTAGAGTGAATTTCCCTTGCTAGCGACCGGCGTTTCTTCCGTGTGCTTCGCAAGGGAGGATTCGAGCCTAATCTACCCTAACAGTGAAGCGATCGTCGTAGGGTTCGGAAATTCACATAGGTGAGTGCGTTAAACATTTTGCGGCTTTCCATCTGCTTTCCCCATGCAGAGATGTCACGAATACAATCATGAGCACTGTGGCAACCATCTAAACTCTAATCAACAGGAACTATAATTTACTGCACTTCATCGGCGATAGAGAAGCTGTTCTTTTCTTTCTGTCAAATAATAGGTGTCTCATCCAGTGGAGCAAGGAGGGAGAAGAGGGAGGGGGAGGGGGAGGGGTAGATAGATCAGGGAAGAGGGAGATGGGGGAAGGAGTGAGCATGCAGTACCATAGTCCATATCGCTCAAGTAATACCATTTTTCGCAGGGGAAGGAAGTTCCAGGATGGATTCAAAGGAAATGTAAAAGGAAGCGGAACGGAATAATCTTTCCATGCTCCGCGGGAATTGGAATTTTTGTAGGCGGCACCTACTGTCACAGAACATTCCACCGACCCCTAATGAGACCCCAAGTATGCTCAAATAAGCTCAAAGTCTGGCAGTCAAAGGCAGAATTTACGATGAAAGTAAACTTATTGGAAAGAAAGGTAAAGGTGGTCAGTGGAGGGATGAAGAAGGAGGAGGAGAACACATTTTGAAACGGCCTGATATCCGAGAAATGGGACTCCTTCTCTTGTCCGTTGAATTTGCATTGATGCGATTCTCATCGTTGTGCCCTCCTCAACGCCAACGCTCTCTGCTATGTAATCACTCGCCGCGACAGACATGCGAGCATGCTTAGGATAGTCAGGTGGGCGTACCGCGCCAATGACATGAGGAGTGAGCCATGCTAGATCACCTATCTATCTATCTAGCTAGACACTCGTCGTAGGTCAAATCCTTCACTGCCAATTGCGTGTCAATCAGCACCCTCAGGAGACGCCTGTCTCCCAACTATGTTTCACCCTTCTTTGACATTCGTTCCTTTCGTGTATTCCTCCTTTAATGTGACGAAAAAGCACAAGTTTTTCAGCAGGTTTTGGTAGCTTAACCCATTGCGGCATTTTTTTCGCTTGCCGGCGCGTGGGGCATGCCTGTTTAGACTCGCAGTCGGGTGCTGCGCGATAAATGTAACTGTTTTTCCTGCTGGATGAGACGTAATAGTACAGTAGATTAAATGAGAGAGTAAATTATTATTGGAATAGTACCGATTATATTCAATTAATTTCTAGTGAGTCAGAGCACATTCGAGCTGACGATGGGAGTGAGTGACGTCGTTCTGACGACAACTCTGCCAATCATCTCACAGCCAAAGTGTCGGTGAGCCATTTTTTTGAAATCTAACAATATTCCAAAGCCAACCGATTTTCGGAAACTTTTCAGACGCGAGTGGTCAGCCTTGACAGGAGGCGCTGTCCTCATTTCTGACAAACAGCTTTGCGCAGGCTCGAAATTGCACGGGACCGCTCCGGTACGATGACTAAAACCTCGGTCCCAACTTTCGGTCTGTACCAATGTGGATGATAACGGTTGCTTGCAGCAACAGTCCCATCAACCGACCACTACTCGCTTCAGGAAATAATTATTGTTTTGATTTCAGGGTGACAGTGGAGGCCCACTACTTGTCAGAGATCGCCTTGGCAGACTAGTTCAAGTGGGGATCACATCATTTGGAGCAGGAGGATTTCAAGGTCTCGTCGATCAAAGTACCTATCCCGGTTAGTTTCCACCCTGTTTACAATGTATTTTATATTTATTTCCGCTTTGGCACTTTTTTCATTTTCGTTTCGGGATTTTTCATTTTTCGAACACCTTAGGCACTGCTTTCCTAAAACAATTTTTTTCTAATTGTTTTCTGCTCTGTAGGCTTTCTCCCAACCGAGTTATGAAATTTTTCATAAAGCACTGCTTTTTTGGAGAACGCCCCGCCCACCGGGTGGGTCTCCCTAATTCGATGTGACTTACCAATGCACACCTTTACCCACTTTTTGGCCCAGTTTCGAGGTGTTTTGTCACTGAAATCGAAATCTTGGTCGTCAGTACAATTCATTTCGACGCACGCCACGCCCACTGTGGGCGGGGCTCCGCTTAGCTGATGTGTGTTTTGTACTTCGTGAGACCTTGCCCACCCATCCCACACTTGACCCGGTCCCTCCAGGCGGATCCCGAGGAGCTAGGGAATTTCGTGACAGACATACAGAACGACAGACGACAGACGAAGCGCTTTATAGTAAGTAGGAAGGTTATTGTTACCGCGGAAAATTCCTTCCTTACAAATAATGACCCTGGAGAACCCTAGTAAGAATGCAGTCTTGGCTGTACTTGTATGGCTCGTACTACGCCATGGTTCCTATGTACTCTTTTGAAAAGCCGCGCCGCGACTGCACGCGATTCACGCTGGTGTTTCGCACTCGATTCTTATGCCGAACATTACTTGGCAAATAGGTTTTGCAATTTTGGGACTGAATTATCGAATGGTGAACCTTTTTTGTCAACTTATAAACAATAACTTTAGGCGTCTATACCCGTGTCTCTCCGTACATCACCTGGATGGAACAAGTTACGAATTCCGGAATCACCCCATTTCACCTACTTAGCGTCACTTTTATGGCCTCTGTCATCTGTCTATATGAAAGAATGGAATCAATATTTATTTTATAATAATTATGATCTAGACCCGATATGTGGAATAGTTACAGCGTTGACATTACCATGCGATGTACCTGAAAGTGAGATTACTGCACAATGTTTCGAATCCAAGCATAAATCATTCATTCGAGTATCACCAATCATTACACTTTTTTGAGCTGTGCTTGGGAACTTCGTTTGCGATCGAAAAAAAGGAAGTGAAGTTCTACAAATACTCCCAGCACTGACTGATGGTTTCAGTTGAGTTTAACAAGGGTTGTGATATCATGCTCCACCAGAAATCATCAGGTAATCCTGGAGCCGCGAGACAGGCACACGTTTTTGTTACTATGCATGACTTCAGGTAGGGGGCGATCATGACCACTAGCCAATCTATTCCAACAGTTCGAAGAAAACCGAAAAAATGTGCTGTACAGAGTTCAACGAACCTCTGCGGTTGTTCCTCAGAGAAGCTTATCTGCCATCAGTGCCTTTTCTTCTCGACGAACTTGTATGTAAGTGTGCAGCTTCGGCGGATGCTTGTGAGCAGCCCGAGAGAGATCGATTCGACCAAATTTCAACTCAGAATCTTTCGGAAGGTTGCACGCGTGTTCCAAATGACGCCAGTAGACGTCCTCCTCAAAAACCGCTGAAAATGGAAGTAAGTCAGGACCAGTGACCACACGAAAGGAACTCTGAGTAGTAGTTACGAACGAGCAGGATCTGTCTGTACAAAGTCCACAATTGCGAACGAAATAACTAGATTGCGATCGAGAATGTAACTTAGCTCGATGTCATCATCATCCAAGCCGAACGGCCGCATTAGATCCTGCCCGACCTTAAAAACACACCGATAGGCAGAGAGGCATAGTGCATGCCGTCGCTAACGAATGAACTTTCCAAAGTCCACAGGAGAACATTTCACATTGAAGTGCAACTTACTAACCTTGTACCATCCAACGTAAAAAAGGAATTGGACGACCGTAAATATTGGAAAAACGGTATCGAAACCATGCTCAGGATCGAAGTGCTGCCGTCCAAAGAGGCAGAACACGAAGAAGGAATAGGTAGCTAGCGAAGCGACCTGCAAGTTGTCAGACATTTATAAAAACTCGAACTCTTGAAGGGACCTGGACGGTGTGATGAGGCTGGAACATCTAACTCAAATGATGTTAGGGGGATTGCCTCAATGGTCAAAAACAAAAGCAGACAGACGCTTTTCCACTCTGATAATGATAAGGGCTCCCTAGAGCGATCATGTCACATTGGAAACCAACCCAGCCACGGGGAAATGTGGCAATAATTTGGGAGCTTTCTGCACTTTTCTTATTTAACTTGAAGGCAGTAAGCACGATGGTTGGAAGGCGAAGCGGTTTTGATGACGTCATTGAACGCCAATGGTGGATAAAACCGTTCAGCGCGGTGGCGGCGAGGGAGGGAGGGGGTGGTTAGGTTTTCACCCTTTACAAAGAGGTCAGGAACTCCTGAAGCTCTTCCACAAGTCACGCTAAACGGCACCGTCAAAATCGCCCCGCCCATCAACAGTTGTGTTCCTTTAAATCGGACTTCCGCGAAAAATTCATAGTTTACTTTCGCAAAAATTTCGCAGTAAACTTGAGGCAATCATCTATGGTTCCCCGGTCGAGAACAAAATTGACATCCTGCAGTGGAGCCGGTACCTGTGTGTAGACGAGCGGTATGCATACCCAGTCATGGCAGAAAAGCTTGCGAAACGATGTACGGTATTGCTTCATCTCGTTGGCGAACACAGACAGATAGTTAGTTGCGGCTCGCCCCGATTCAACCTGAAATTTATGAGTTTGGGATAGCCACTGGAGTGAATCCTCAGACTAGCGAAGGGAGCGCTCTGAATGGGAGCGTTCCCACCAGTTACCGCCACAAGACTCCATTCGAGTCATGAACGGTCATTCTAAAGGTCATCATGAAAATCCAAATGAGTTCGATCCCCTAGACCATCAAGACCCCGCCGGGAAACGTGTGCTTTTTTTTGCTCACATCTAGTCGAATTTTGATATAATTTGAGTCAAACATTTGAGTCTCATTTCAGCAAGGAGGCATTGCCATTTGCTGTGTCGACGAATTTTACTGTTCCGGCGAATCGAGACCTCTTGCCTCTCCCCTTACTGGATGAGACCACACATTTGTTAGGAGAACTGAAATTTTTTTCAATAAAACACTAACCTCAGCTGTGATCAGCTGCTGTATCCAGATATAAGCGGAGCTAATCCATCGCACACCTGATGACGGGCGACATTAAACTAAGAGGCAGATCCAACAACTGTTTTGCAAAATGTAGATCCAAAATCGAAGAAAATTAACTGGCGTCAATTGGTTTAACAGGCGGGACAACGGATATTACATGTCAACACTGCCTGTCAAATTTTCAAGTAACTGACAATGCAATGAAGTATGCAAAAGAAGACATGTCCAGAAACCAGACTTTTGATGGCCAAAAACTTCAGTTCTATGCTTTTTTGATTTTCAGCTTTGTTGATCCTCCACAGATTTAACTTTTTTTCATGGTTGATGAAAACTATTTGTGTGGCCGGAGACGAGTTAACTTGCCAGGTCGGATTTTTAGAGTTGGAGGGGGGGACCATTTTTCATCCTTTAGGCTTTAAAGCTAGGAAGAGAGGCAAAAATGACAGCTTGCACACCCATACCAGAGTCTTTATCCGCATCCAAAGCTTATTCCCTAATGTTGGTTAAGAAGAAATGGTTGTCGTGTGTCTTAGTTGAAAGCTAAGCAACTAGGCTCTCATATTCTGGACTATGCCAAGATTTATTCAACGTCGAAACTTGGGTTAATTGAGGTTGTCGTGGAAACGCTCTGCGTTAACAAATGCCCTTACCTTATTCAGATGAAACTCTCAGAGCATATGAGATTGAGGTTATCTATTCCGAAGCGATGTAAATGGAATGACCCCTCGATTAGCAGATTTCATCTTACTAAAAGAAGGTCCAAAAGAGTGAGCAAAGCAGGAGTTCGACGCCCATCCGACCGATCATCAGTCGAGAGAATCTGACCGTTCCAGTGGGGGGGGGGGGTCGGCACTTCTTACTGTTGACGAGCTTTCGGTAAAACTTTGACAGAACCATCAAAAAATGAGCATGATCTCGACGAATTTAGAACATTTGCGGTCTCCTGTGATATATTTACCCACCGCTCGTCGGCCATTTTGAAGGGAAAAAGTGGGCAGATCACGAGTGGTCTAGTGGGTAGGTAGTATTCTATTAGATGACCCTTCACTTGTGCTGGAGGGTCGTACTGAGATCATCAAAAGGGGAGGAGTCAGGAAATTTTAAAATTGCCGAACGAAACCGTTAACCCTGGAGCGAGCTGTCGAGTAAGCAAATTTTAGATAAAAAATGCAGCTCATTAGCAATCTAAAACGACCTCCCATCAAGGTCAATTTCGAAAAATTTTACGACTCCACTCTTTTACCGAATCTCTATACGACCCCTCCCCCAACACTTATTATGTACTGTACACTTGTATTTGTGTGTTTGCTTACTACTTTCTCCCCTGGAAGAAAACTAGAAGGTTAGAGCTTTCTAGTGAATACTTGACCTCGTTTCCAAAATGACCCGTTCAAAAAATCGCCCCGTTGGACCGTTTTTTCATGAATTTTCGGAGCTACTCTCCTGAAAACACGAGTTTTCAACACTCAAACACTCACAGCTCTCTTCAAACTCAATTTTATGGGGAATAATGATACCATGACATCGCACAAGCTTTGTGCTTCATAACAGATACTAAACCCTTTTCAGGAAGTCGCCGACAGGCAAATATTTTTTCCCAAACTTTTCTTGTAAGCCTTTAGCAGTCAATCTACCCAAGTGGTCACTCTTTTACTAACTTAGGTCCAGTTTGAAGACATTGGAGCATATTGTGTACGTGAACAGTCAAATATGGACACTTCTGCAGTAGACTCTTCTGCTCTGAGGTGCGCCATGCACTCGTTTGTGGTTAATAGTTGGAGAAGCACTCGAAAGTTATGCCTCTCACCTACGTATTGCA